TAGGTCCGTCTCTCTTCTCCATCTTTTCCCCAATACCCAACCCCTGTTGTTCGCTCCTGTCCTCCCTTATTGGTGTCACTCACTGGATTGTCTCCACCTTCCTCCCCCTACCTGGGCTCCCTCTGCTCCGGGGCTAGGACAGGAGCTTCTGAATCCTGACAAGGAGCCTGGCTGCAGGTAGGAGGTGGTAACAGCTGAGCAGGAGCTGCCGTGGGTTAATGACCTGATGCCTCTCAGCACCCTGCAGTAACCGAACAGTACCAGGTTCTCTTTTTGACCAGACTTTCTGCCTCATGCTAAATATGAGTCAAGTGTAACACTATTGCAAAAAAAGCAAACATCATTCTGGGATGTATTAGCGTCCAGTTCTGGGCGCCACATTTCAGGAAAGATGTGGACAAATTGGAAAAAGTCCAGAGAAGGGAAAGATAAATAATAAAACATCTAGAAAACATGACCTATGAGGGAAGATTGAAAGAACTGGGTTTGTTTAGTCCGGAAAAGAGAAGACTGAGAGGGCACACGATAACAGTTTTCAAGTACCTAAAGGGCAGTTACAAGGAGGAGGGAGAAAAATTATTCTCCTTAACCTCTGATGATAGTACGAGAAGCAATGGGCTTAAATTGCAGCAAGGGAGGTTTAGGTTGGACATTAGGAAAAACTTCCTAACTGTCAGGGTGGTTAGGCACTGGAATAAATTGCCTAGGGAGGTGGTGGAATCTCCATCACTTGAGATTTTTAAATGCAGGTTAGACAAACACCTGTCAGGGATGGTCTAGATCACCATTTCTCATATGCGGCCACCCTGGCTGCATGTGGCCACCAGAGGGTTTCCCTGAGGCCACAGCAGTTTTCTGGGTGGGGGCGGGGCGAATCATAAGCCCCTTCCCTTTCTCTCTGTTGTTCCTGCCTGTGACACTTCTCTGCAGACACAGGTGGGACACACAATACTTAGGGAGCAAGGTGAGGAGGTGAGCAGTGAGTCGAGCAGCAGGCAGGGGGGCTGTGGAGGAGAATGATGAGGTGAGTGGTGGGCAGGGGGGCCTGGTGGAGGAGTAAGGATGCGAGCGGCAAGCCAGCTTCTGGGTGAGAAGGCAGGCGGGGGAGGTGGTGACAAGGCAAGTGGCAGGTGCATAGGCAGCAGTTGGAGCCTCCCTTTGCGGAGGCTAACCCCAACTCCACCCCTTCCACCCACGCCCCACCAGCAGCCGGACCCCTGAGATCCCCGGCACCTGGAAACACAAGCCCTCCAACTGGAGAAGCCCCAAGCACCCCACCCTTATCTGGAGGATCCCCGGGCTGGTCAAAGCCCTGAGCTATCCCACACAGACACACCTACCCGGAGGAGTCCTGGGTTAGATGAAGCCCGGAGTGACCCCTCTCATGTTCAGAGGCGCCTCAGGCCAGCTACAGCTGAAGCTGTGCCCTTCCCTCCCCTCCCCAGACTCAAGCTGCCCAGATACGTTTTTATTATTATTTGGACTTCCATTATGTCAATGCCTTTTTAAATTTACTTCTGAATTGTTATACAGACTACCGCTTTCACCAAAAAACGCACAAGAAACAATAACAAAAGACAAGAACGTGCAAAGCACTTTATTTGTGTTTCTATTCTGTTAGGTACAGTAAAGAATAGAGACAACTGTGCATTATCTTCATTATTGAGTCTGCAAAAAAAAAAAAAGTCCCCCAAACGTACATAAATAAATTACAATGATTTGGGTCTATATATGTGCATATTTCTTTATTAACTTTAAAAATAAATGATTTTAGGAAAAAGTGTCAGTGCGGCCACCAGCAAGAGTTGGTGGCCACACTCTGAGGCCACCAAAAACATTGTTGCGAGAACCCCTGGTCTATATCAAACTTAGTCCTGCCATGAGTGCAGGGGATTGGAGTAGATGACCTCTTGAGGTCCCTTCCAGTCCAATGAGTCTATGATTTTAAGAATTCTGCTGACCAGAATGGCCCACTTTAGTTGTAAAGTTAATTGGTAAAGCTCTGGATATACAGTCAGCCCTTGTTTTACATGTATAGTTTTGACTGTTTCAGTTATGCATGGTCAGTTAATTGTGACCCTTTATTTTTGTACACGGTAGGGATTCACGTGTACAGGGTACAGCGTGGTTAGCGACATGCACAAACCAGTGGGCAATGGTAGTAGTGAAGAGGTAAGGCAGGAGGGGTGGAGCAGGAGGCATGGGGTTCCTCCTCTCTCCTCTCCAGCCAGCCTTGCAGGGGGCCACAGAAACTCTGGCCGGGGGCCCCTCAGGCATGGGTCGGGGTGCAGGGGCTTGCCCCGCTCCTGCTTGGGAGTGGGGTTGCAGATTTGACTTGCTCCACCTGGCATTCCTGATGGGGAGCGGGGTCATGGATTCACCCCGCTCCACTTGGCATTCCTGCCGGGGTATGGGGTCACAGATTTGCCCCACTCTACCTGGTGCTCCTGCTGGGGAGCGGAGTTCAGGACTCACTCTGCTCTGCCTGCACTCCTGATGGAAAGTGGGGTTGGGGACTCACCCGCTTGCCCTTTATTCCCGCCAGAGAATAAGATCAGGGCAGAGGGGCTTAGCCCACTCCACTCACCTACTATTCTTGCCGGGGAATTGGCAGGCCTCCATTCCCTGACCCCAGTACCTGGTAGGAGTGCTAGGCAGAGCGGGGTTAGCCTCCGACCCAGCTCCCCGGCAGGAGCGCTGGGCAGAGCAGGGTGAGCCCCCGACCCCCACTTCCCGGCTGGAGAGTGGGGGAACCCTGGACTCTGCTCCCCTGCTGAAGCGCTGGGCGGTCAGGCAGAGCGGGGCATATCCGCGTCCCTGCTCCCCAGCTGTAGAGCGAGGCAAGTCCCGGACCCCATCCCCAGCTGGAGTGCTGGGTGGAGTGGGGTGAGTCCCAGAGCCTGCTCCTTGTCTGGAGTGCTGCCTGGAGCAGGGCAAGCCCCAGACTCCACTCCCCAACTGAAGCACCAGGTGGAGTGAGGCAAGCCCTCAACCCCACTCCCTAGCTGGAGAGTGGGGCGAGTCCCGGACCCTACTCCCCGGCTGAAGTGCTGGGCGGACGGGCAGAGCATGGCATATCCGTAGCCCCACGCCCTGCCAGGAACACCAAGGGGAGTGGGGCAAGTCCTTGATCCCGCTTCCCGGCTGGAGTGCC